TTTTTGAGTGCGTAAATGAAATTTGTCCTAATCAATCTTATGTAATAGGATTGGATCTTTGTAGATTTTATTTTAAGTTTATTTGAATGCTTGAATAAAAAAGATCACACGCCCTTAAGAAGGAAAACGGAGTGATAATCAAGAATTCAATGCTATGCCAAATAAAGGAAGTTTGATAATGGGAAGGGCAATGCTATATGTACACCCCTTTTTAATAAAATACACAAAGGGCAATGCTATGTGTACACTCCTTTTTTACACACAAGGGGGTGTACATATAGACACCCCCAATGGGAATTGGTTGAAAACTTTCATAAATGTAAGGCAAGAAATTGTCACTTTGACTTAAAATGCTGATTAAGTTAACATTGTTAGGTTGTCAAGATGATTTTTTAGCGCAGATTTGTCGAGCAACTTTAATAACACAACTCCATAAACCTCCTTTTTCTATTCCAGATGTGCTACATCAGCTAAAACTTCATTTTTATTCCTCACCTATAAACCTCTGATAATAATAATAAACCTCATAAACCTCATTTTATATGGGTCCCACATGTTTCTCACTTATTTTTATTTAATATTATTCTTATATTTTTATTAATATTATAAAACTATAACTGTACAGACAGATATATTGTTGCCAATTTCAGCCTAATTAGTACAGAGCCCGTGCGATGTACGGGATGCACAATTTTTCTACCTACTATATTTAGTAAATAGAATATCTTTTAATATTTAATAAATAGAATATCTTTTAATATAAGTATTTTTAATATGAGTATAGATTGCCACAAGAATCATGATTATGACGACACAACAATGACTGCTAATTCTAAGGGATATAGGAAAATAAAAATGAATTAATTCCTATTACAATTAGGAAAAACATTAATTAATTCCTATTATATAAACTGACTGCTAATTCTAAGGGATATAGGAAAGTAAAAATGAATTAATTCCTATTACAATTAGGAAAAACATTAATTAATTCCTATTATATAAACTGAGTGCTAATTCTAAGGGATATAGGAAAATAAAAATGAATTAATTCCTATTACAATTAAAAAAAACATTAATTCCTTTTATATAAACTGACGCACCCTGAACAAAAATATGAATTGTGTAGTGATCTAATTAGTAAGTTAAACTCGATCGGCAGTATAATAAATATATAACTATGTCGTCCCCGCCGCCGTGTTATAGGTGTTCCAAATCACTACTATTGCTGCTCTTCTCCCTAGTGATCTGCCTCTCCTCTCTCCCGCTGTCCCCGGCGGCGCCTTCGCCTTCGCCTTCGCCCTCCCCCGCCCCCTTTCCTTCCCTCCACCGCCACCACGTGCCCCACTTCACCTACTTTGGCAGGATGGCCCCACGTCGCTGGCACAAGCGCACCCTCGAGTACTCCTTTTCTCCCGACCACGGGATCAACTACCTGGACCCCGCAGAGGTGAAGGCCGTGTTCGCCCGCGCGTTTGCCCGCTGGTCCGCGTACATCCCCGTGACCTTCACGGAGACGGAGGACTACGAACAAGCGGACGTGAAGATCGGGTGGTACAGCGGGGACCACGGAGACGGGAACCCGTTCGACGGGGTGAGCAGTGTGCTGGCCCATACGTTCGCCCCCGAGGACGGGCGGCTCCACCTGGACGCGGACGAGATATGGACTACTGACTTGCGCAAGGAGCCGCCGTCGGAGTATGTGGTGGACCTTGAGTCGGTGGCCACGCACGAGATTGGGCACTTGCTCGGCCTCGGCCACTCGTCGGATAAGGATGCCGTCATGTTCCCTTTCCTGGTGCAGGGGACGAGAAAGGTGGAGCTGGGGGAGGATGACGTGGTGGGGATCCAGACGTTGTACGGAGTGATCCCATTCGACTGACGGGCGGCTGTGGATTTAGAGGGAATTAGAAAGGTATTGATGATCACGCTGGTGGTGTTCTTCATTTATATTTTCATTAATCACGCTGCAGATGTTGATGTTTGGTCTCTGGGATTGAAATATTTCACTGTAGAAATCCAAAATTTCCTCTAAGATGTCCTCTTCATTTCTGCATTTTGATCCATCACTTGTAGATTATTGGATCTTCTTCTCTGAGTAACACTGGCATGAAAATACCTAGTGTTTTTGTCCCCAGCAAAGGATTCTAGATTTAAGAGTCTTCGTCCACGGATTGTTCTCTTGAAGACTTGGAGAATCTGTATTGTGCCAGTTGGTAGGCAGAGTGTAACAGAGCTTTGACCTTGCCAAGCAGAGCCATATCTTGTAGTTTAGCCTTACAAATCTCAATTTTCTTTGCTGAATTAGTTTGTGACTGGGAGTTCCATTTGATAAGAGCTAATCTGGTGTCTCTCAGTTTCTTTTGGATCCCTACTGTTAGCCCACTGTTTTCCTCTTGGTCTTTCCAAACTGCAGCTATAACCTCTTTGCACCCATCCTTTGTCTCCCACCCTATTGTTTGCCCAAGTAAAAGAATACCCTTGATAATACCCATCCTGCATACCCATAAGCCTAACAAAATTCCCGAGTGGAACAAAAGATCATTAAAGTCCCCCCTAAAAACAAACAATCCCCCTAATCAAATTTCCACTGATTTTGTCCCTAACTCTGTTTGGCGATAACCACTCTTTTGTACCATAAAAAAAATAAAAAAACTACAACTATACTCTTTATTTTTATTCAATCTAAATGTTTCATATAATTATCATAAATATATATAAAAAATAATATTAATATTATACTCTTATAGTTTTATTAATATTGTAAAACTATAACTACAATTTTTATTTTTATTCAATCTAATCGTTTCATATAACTATCATAAATATATAGAAAAAATAATGTAATTATAAATAGTTGAACTATATATATTACAATTAAACACCAAAAATAATAATAAAAAAAGAAATGAAAGCACAACCAAAAACATTAAAATGCAAAAAAAAAAAAAAAAAAATAAAAAAAATTGCCAAACTTTTGGCAGGTGTGAGCATGTTTGTTTATAGAAATTTTTGGTTTTGTTTGATTTTTTTGGTTTGGTTTGGTTTAGTTAATTTTGAAAAAAGTGGTATGCTTAGTTGTTACTTGTTAGAGTGTATATTAAAACAATATTTAAAATAAAATAAACAAAATTAATTTGATGAAAAGTAGGAGAGATATGATTTGATGTGATGGTTAGTTAGAATAATGTGAGTGGATGAATAGTGAATTAATGTTGGTGTAGTGAGTATAAATGATTGATTGATGTTATTTAATTATATTAATAATTTTGATGATAGTGGGGTTGAGTTAAAATTGAGTTAGAAAAAATGATTGAGTTAAAAGGTTAGAAATTTTTCGAAAATTTCCATAAACAAACATGCTCAAATTTTTGCCACGCGCTCTCAAGAAGAATTTGGTTCCATATTTTGTTTATTTTATTTTCCAGGTTTATATAAGGTTTGTAAACTCAAACCTGTGGCATTTTCATAAACCTCAAACCTCCTCCATATAATAGAAAAGTTGGGAGGTTTGTATTTTTAAGCCTCATCCAAATGCTCTATTAGAGCATTTTTTTTCGGTCCAATGAAGGAGGCCGAAGGCCTAAAAGAGACCTAGGCTAAGACCCTACGCGGGTACGAAACCCCAATAATGTCGTGCTCGAGCCACATGCCCATCCCTGGGGGAGGCGAGGAAAGTCTCTGTACACCAATCGGGCAGGAAGCCGCAAGGCTCGCTAGAGCATTTTAGTGACCCTCCTACACAAATCTCATTTATTTATTCCTAATATGCCACATCATCCAAAACCTCATTCTTACTCCTACACATATAAACCTCAAATAATAACAGACCTCATAAACCTCCGTTTTATGGGCTCCACACGTTTTCCACTTATTTTTATAATTAATATTATACTCTTATTTTTAATTAATATTTTTAAACTATAACTTCAATTTTATTTTTATATAATTTAAATGTTTCACATATACATCATAAATACATACAAAAATAATAATATAATTTTATGTAACTATATTGCACTATTTAATATTAAAATGAAGGGCCAATTATTCGTTTATAGTTTTTACGTTTTCATTTGTTTTGAGTCTATGTTAGGTTTTTTTTTGTCTTATTTTTTTGGTTTGGGTCATTTGACCTCTGTGGGCATTACTCCGTTAGGGTCTGATGGCGATGAGATCGCACTGGCGTTTCTGGAGAAACGAGACCGACGTCGTCATTGATTGTTATCTATTATTTAGTTTCCTATTTTTATTTATTTAGCATATCATATTTATTTAGTACCTATTTTATTTAGTTGGATTTTTGGAATGTTATTATTTCTTTCCTTAGGAAATTAAGTAAGAGTTTAGGATGTTTGAGACTCTATTAAAATAAGGGTTGGGCAGATGTTGAAGACGATTGATTTTACGTGAAATAAAAATATGTGTTCTTGAGTTCTTGTTCCTTCGTTATATCTTTCGCTGCGTCAGTTGGTATCCAGAGTCCAATACATTTCAAGATGCCGCCAAAGAAGAATGATGGCGTCGATGTCGCAATCGAGATGCTTAGTCGTCAACTTACGGAGATGCAAACGGGGTTTGGACGGCAATTCGATCTCATGGATCGACGAATCACCGAATTGGCAGAGGGTTTCGAGGACCGATTGGTTGGACACACTGTTCACACGGATGATCGAACGAACCGTGGCCGAGGCGGACGGCACGGTGGAGCGCCCGGAGGCCGCGGTCGGGGTAGACATGGGGCGCCCAGCGACCGGCCGCCTAATCCGTGGAATGGCGGGGGTGACGATGACGACACCCTTTCCGATTACAACCCGTTCGGACAGTTCGCACAA